TGGGCGCCAGTAGCTTGGTGTTTAGTGTGTGTGCCCCATGTGCGGAGGCTGTGGTCCTTACAGGCGGGCAGCCCGGGTTCAAATCCGACCTGGGCCTCCTTTCCTGCATGTCATTCCTAACTCTCTCACTCCCTGATATCTGACTCTTTCAACTGTAGCGGGAAAAAAAAGGCCCCAAAAATGAATCTTTAAAAATGAAAGTAAATAAAAGTATGCATGATCTGATTATTTTTGCAGAAATAACAGCACAATTCAACGTTTCGCACGGATCTAAATAGATTTCCAAGGCTCTTCATACAAGGTAATCATCATTAAAAACACTGGCCAAATGCATTCTTTCCTCTTTTGACACTTGAGTGAATTTCCATTGAAGGCAGCAGGTGAGCCCTCTGCCCTCCCTGCATATCATTCTGCTAATCAGCAGGGACAGCCGACGCTTCATTCAACCTTTTTCTTTATTCACCTTCCACACCTCTAATGGATATGACCTCCCGCCTCCATCTCGCTCGCTTCATTTCGGCCCCCTCTGCCGCAACACAAAAACTGTGTGTTCTAAAAAAGCTTGTATCCTGATTCACAGTGAAAACATTTCACTCAGGCTGTCGTTTGCTTTCAACAAGCAGATTTGCGGACGAGCTGTCCGCAGAAACATAAAAGCACAAGAGCAAACTCATGTAGACATAAAACAAGGAAGCTTTTCAGTCATCGCAGACCTCCCAGTGGGACGTTTTCAAAGCTGTGGTCTTGAAACATATGACCATTATTTTTATCTCTCCAGATTTAAAATGGTTTTAGAATTTGAGAAACATGTGCATTTACACTGAGGACGTTTAAGACCATCAATACTCTCACATCTGTGCATTAAGGATATTGCAGGCTAAGACCCATACGTTGGTAGTTAGCTTAGCTGAGATGAGTAGAAGCAGTGGTACACAGCTAGCTGCAGTATGTCACAGAACTCAAACCAAAAGTCTGTTCAACATTTGTGTTTTCAAGAAGGTCTCGAAGGCACTGGTAGGTGTTTGATTATAGAGAGAGCCAGGTTAGCTGCTGAACTGATTCCAGTATTTTCGCTAAGCTAGGCTAATCACTTTGAGGTTCCAGATCCAGACTTTTAGTAGCCTACTTAAAGGCTTTATATGCGATTTTTTGATCCAGCAGATGTCGCCCTTGAGCACCAGCATGAAACCAAAACAACTCGCGCTGCATTGTTGTGTTAGCATGCTAATGCTAGCGATCTTTATTATGCTGGTATCTTCACACTGCATGTAAATTTACCTGAAATGAGCGTGATCTAGAAACACAGTTAAGCAGTGAGTACAGTATGTTATTCTTCTTTTCTCTAGTCCCTCAATTAAACAACTTTTATACGCAAGGGGAGGAGTCAGCCGGCCGTCCTGGCGATGTAAACAAAGTGAAGATAGGACTCTGAAAACTCTGAAAACATCACAGACAGTGGGACTCGGGTGTTACACCCATTGTAGACAGTCATGACTCACAGAGTTATTTTCAGAGGATAGACTTGATTTATTACATTTAAGTGTGAAGAATCACATATAAAGCCTTTAAAATGAAGACATGTACGAGTTATTCAACGAAAAGCTTTCTCAGTAAGAGACTTAAGTATTTGGTATAGAAGAAAACAAACAAGCCAGAACAAAAAAGTTTGGGTTCTAACAAGCTTGAATCCTGATTCAAAGTGAAATATATATATATTTTTCCAGCACTAAAATGCCTGTCACTTGCTTTCAACACAGAGATTTGATGACAGGCTGTCCAAGAAACAAACTCAAGACGCTTAAAAGCAACAAACGCAGAAAAGCAAAAAGGAACAAGGAACCCTTTTCATTCCTCACAGACCTCCCAGTGGGACTCGTCTAATACGGTGGCCTTTTGTAGGAGGGGGAAACCATATTTACGTCTGAAACTCAAAACGGTTTTATCAACTCAATTAGAGGCTGACATTTCCCCATCCCCACGCTGGGCTGGAAAATCAATGCTTCCCGCTAGAGGAATACTGCAGTCCTCACCTCTCACTCTTTTCTCTGCTGACAGCACACACACATACACACACATGGACACACAAACACACAGGAATCTCTCCTTTTTTTCCCTCGCTGCACCTCTGGGACATCACGCCTTTAGTAGCGATTCTGTTCAGCCACTCTCGGACAAGAACATACAGTAAAGGATGTTCCCATATGGACACATTCCCACGCAACTGTCAGACTGAGGGATTCTGGCCTCTGCTCCACTGAGTCTTACTGCAGCACTGTAAGCTGCAGCACTCCTTCACCGGCTGCTGACGTCCAAATGCTGCCACATTACATGATGAGATGGCAAATATATATGTGGTTGTGCGAGGTAAAAGCAGGGGGGGGGGTCAGGTTAAAGGACATGTGTGTGAGAGTCTAAAAAATAGATAACTGTGGCCCATATGGTATTTTTTTCTAGGCTGCGTAAACATATTTAAATGAAAATGACAGATATGACAAAGGAGACACCAGACAGAGTGTTGGAGCGTCAGAGGAACGTTTAGCAGGTCAATAGTGTGTGACTGTTGAAATGCTTTCCTGTAATGCATGCAATGAAAGTACCTGTTTCACCTGTATACTTAGAAACACTAAAATGTATAGAAGAGTAAATGTTAGTTTAAGAGAACTGCTGTGGGAGGAGGATACATATATTTATATATATATATATATATATATATATATATGTATATGTATAGGATTTACATTGAAACCCATGGTGGACTTAATAATTTAGTTAAAAATAAGGGACACAAAAATGAAAATGAACTCCTGCTAGACCGAAACAAAAACTGTAACATGATAACAATTGTGTGAAAGTTGATGGCAACTTAGGTGGCAGCCTCTTCACCAGGTATAACGTAGTGACAACTGTGACTCAATTCCCAGAGGTAAGACGTGAAGTAAATAAACAACACGAAAGTAGCGGCCGAAGCAACAGAGTCCGCTAACGACGTTATAATGAGAATATTTACCTTTATATCAATGCTATGTGTAATCCAATGGAATGACAACATCCACAAAAGAGAGGAGAACAACATACTGACCAACAGAAAACAGAATGCAGACATTTAATTAGAGCACGGAGATTGTAGAGGTCG